TTTTGAATTTGTCTAAAAATCGGCCCCCCGTTTCATGCAGGCAGGTATCAACATAGCAGTAATTGCAGGTAAGTGGTACATAAACCACACCCCTGCCAGCAAGTGGGCAAAAAGGGTTTCTGAAGAGTCCAGAACCCATCAGTATTGGGACACTAGTGCTTTAGGGAAACCTATTTTTTGGGGATCCCTTATCAAAGCATCCCCAGTGCTGCACAAAATGCATTGCAGCATAGTTACAATTTAAATACCAGTATACATACCTGGCATGCCCAGCTTGTTCACTGTGAATGTAAGGGAATTCATTTGAATATTGTGAAATGGGTGAATGTTTGAATCTACATTCACTGAGGGATCAATAGGATGAATTGTATGGTAAAGAACTTTTCCACTGAAGTGCAGATATGGGCAAATGTTGCAATTTCACCAATCCCAACAATAGTGGGGAAATCCATTGTAATACATGAGTGAATTAACAAACTCAAAGGAGGTTATTTACTAAAATTGGAGCGTGCAAAATCTGGTGCAGCTCAAAACCAATAGCTTCCAGGTTTTATTACCATAGCTTAACTGAACAAGCTGAAGTTAGAAGCTGATTGGCTACCATGCACAACTGCACCAGAATCTGAGTGCTCCAGTTTTAGTAAATCTCCTCCAAAGTGTCCAAAAAAACAATGATAAATAGACCCCAAAGTGATTCTGTTTCAAATTGTGCAGTAGAACACTTTTTTAAATCTGTTTTAACCTAATCCGCGCATTAGCCGAAAGACGGCTTCACCGCGGCCGGCCAGTTCTGAGTGGACGTCATATGACGTCCTCCCAGAACGCGCTCTCCTGCGCGCCCCAGGGGGCGCGCACCCGGCGATCTCTGTGATCGCTGTGTCCTACGGACACAGCTGATCACGTGATGTGGTGAAAGGCCGATCCCACCGGCCTTTTACCACGTGATCAGCGGTGTCCAATGACACGCTGATCACAGGGAAATGCAAGTGCCGGTTCTCGGCTGCACTTTCCTCACGCTGTCAGATTGTGAGGAAAGTACTGCCGAGAACCGGCATTTGTCAGAGCGGGGATCGGCACCGATCATCAGGGCACTGATGATCAGTGCCCTGATGATCGGTGCCCAGCAGTGACCCCCGCAAGTTCCGATCAGCAGTGCGCCCACTAGCCCCGCCCACCCATTCCCAGCAGTGCCCCCACCTGTGCCCAGCAGTGCCCCCACCTGTGCCACTCTGCAGTGCCACCTACCTGTGCCCAGAAGTGCCACCTACATGTGCCCAGCAGTGCCACCCACCTGTGCCCACCCACCTGTGCCCACCAGTGCCACCCACCTGTGCCCACCAGTGCCACCCACCTGTGCCCACCCACCAGTGCTGTCCACCAGTGCCACCCACCAGTGCAGCCCAGCAGTGCTGCCAGTCAGTGCCACCAGTCAGTGCCCAGGGGTTGTGCCAGTCAGTGCCGCCAGTCAGTGCCCAGAAGTGATGCCAGTCAGTGCCGTCTATCAGTACCCATCATCAGTGTCACCTATCAGTGCCGCCTATCAGTGCTGCATATCAGTGCCGCCTATCCGTGACCCCTAATTAGTGCTGTCTATCAGGTGCCGCCTATCCGTGCCACCTCATTAGTACTGCTGCCTATCAGTGCCCTTTAGTGCTGCCTATCAGTGCCCATCAGTGCCGCCTATCAGTGCCCATCAGTGCCGCCTCATCAACGCAAATCAGTGAAGGAGAAAAAATACCTGTTTGAAAAATTTTATAAAAGAAACAAATAAACTTTTTTTTTTTTTTCAAATTTTTTGCACTTTTTTAATTTATAGCGCAAAAAGTAAAGCGCCCAGTGGCGATTAAATACCACCAAAAGAAAGCTCTATTTGTGAGAAAAAAATGATCAAAATTTCATATGGGTACACATGTTGCATGACCGCGCGCAATTGTCAATCAAAGTGCGGCAGGGCTGAAAGCTGAAAATTGGCCTGGTAAGGAAGGGGGTATAAGTGCCCGGTAGGCAAGTGGTTAACTTGCAGTGTCCTTGCTCAGTAATAAGCAGCGAAAATAAGTGCTTTATAAATCTTTAATATTTTGACAGAGAGCAACTTCAGTTACAGAATTTTAGAGACAAACACCTCAAGGCCACAAATCTGCTTGGATGCTACTATAAACCTTTTCAACTTGCAACCTAAAAACTCAACAAGAATATGATACTTAGTCTGGTTGGTGAAAAGTCTGAATATCACGTTCCTGGTGAAGACTGGAATGTTATGGAGCCCTCTCTTAAGCCTCCTGCCCAACATTCCTGAATGTGGAGACAGAGAGAATGAAGGCACAGAGTGGCAAGAGTGCCGGAGTAGCTGGCTAGTGATGTCCACTCATTAGGTGGGTAGACCTGATAGACGCAGACCTCAGAGGATGCAGGAGCATCTTGGCACCAGAGCAAAAGACAGAAGCAGGACCAGGAGACAAGCAGTGGTCAGCAACAGCAGGGCAGAGAGGGACAAAATCAGATGGGAAAGTGTAGTAAACAGGCCAGGGTCAGAGTAATCAGGTGATCAAGGTTAAGACAGGAGCAAAATCAAAATCCAAGGGCAAGCCGGGTCATACACAGGTAAGCAGGTACAGCAGACTGGGTCTCAGAAACACAGGGACAAGCTGAAGACCATTCAGTAAATGCTCCTAGGAACAGACCAGTTTAAATAGCACACTGGGCACCAAGTGTACACGCAAATTGGTATGCACATGTGCATGATCACGCATGCACATGAATGCGATGAATTGGAACAGTACATCTAACATTGCCCCTTCGCTTTGCTTCACCTTATAATAAGGATTTCAGGTGCTGGGAATCTGGTTTACCTTACATTGAATGTCTGAAAATTCTATTAGAACACATTATGCTCAATTCACAAAAAAGTGAAAGTTATTTTCAGCTGAGGCAAATAAGATTTGAAATTTACAATCACATAGCTGAAATCAAAATTCATATCCAGGCGTTAAATCTTTGTGAATTAAACCTGTTTCTTATTAACTAGATACTCCTAGCATTCTCAAAGAGTTATGTGTTGGAGAGATTGCCCACTGATCCACTAATAATTCAGGAATACCTAGCAGCATATATGTAAAGCAGTGAACGTGACATTGATCATATATTCATTACACGTGTATTTTCCTGCATGTGTTTTAAACTAAAGTGAATGATTAACCACCTGTAAATGTTTGGCGAATGTCACATTAACTGCTTTAAAAATATTTAATATTTAAATTAAAATGAATCAACTTGCATTTTATGTTTACTCACTTTTAAAGTAACACATTAAGCAATGTTTTTGACTTTTAAGGAATAAGAAGAGTTTTCAAGAATCTTAGTGAAAGCATACAAGCGTATCTGTATAATTTAGGAATTACACTAAATGTATATGTAAAGATTAAATTGGTCATCTTGTCCCTTTCCATTGTTAAATTCTATGTTTCAATGTTTCTGTACTTTGCATAATTTAGTGTGCTTCTGTATTTTTATTATTACTTTGTTAATCCAATAAATACAGTGCAAAGTCTATAGTGAGAAAAATATTCCTATTGTAAATGCATGATAAGATTGCCATCTAGTGATCAAAAAACATTTAGCACAGCTTTGTATTAAATTGTTTAACAATTGCATTAAAAAAAACTAAACCCCAAAAACATGATGTTTCATTTGTAGATTTTGTAAGATGAATAATAACACTTTTGACTTTTTTTTTGTAATATAATGTTATTTATTCTCACTTTTTTCTCCTATTTTGTATCTCGGTTCTTCTGATGTCTGGCAGCCTTTTTCAGCCACTTACTACCTGCGAGCATTCACTCCAGCATTGGCAGCACATAGTTGTCAAGGACCAGCTTTCCAATAGTGAGAGTGGTGGGCCATACTTAGGCAATGTGTGCTTATAGACTCTGGGGTGCATGTGACAGTTACAATGAAAGCACATATTTGAGAATCATTTGTCACTCCAACATGGTGATATAGAGGCACCTCTGAAAAGAGACAGCTTTGGGAAATGAGAAAGGGGTGATCCTCTGAACAATTGTAGTGGTTTTTGTAAAAGCTCATCTGCTGGCATAATTACTGTCCCCTGAGAAAGTAAGTTTACATTTGTTTAACATTCTTGTAGAAATGGTCTCTTGTCGCTGGAGCAAGGAATTTGTGATACAAACCAAGATGTGAAGGATGAATGATTTACCGAACATGGCCTGAGGTGCTTGCCCTGAGGGTCCAAGCATCTGAGATCAAGGCTGCCTGTCAGATATGTACAGATGGCATGAACCTTAAAATAGAGAGTGGAAACTGACCCTTGAACTGCTGTCTTCTTTAACTCGACATACAATTATTTTGAGACAGGAAACCAGACTCCACAATCACAGATCTTTGCTGTCACTTGAAATTTCCCTTTCAAAGATCTTTACAGTGATTGCATGATTCCTTAATTAACCACTTGCCTACCGGGAACTTTTGCCCCCTTCCTGCCCAGGCCAATTTTCAGCTTTCAGCGCTGTCGCACTTTAAATGACAATTGCGTGGTCATGCAACACTGCACCCATATGAAATTTGTATAATTTTTTTTCTCACACAAATAGAGCTTTTTTTTATGCTATTTAATTGCCTTTGGGTGTTTTATTTTTTGTGCTATAAACAGAAAAATAGCAAAAATTTTGAAAAAAAAGTTTTTCTTTGTTTCTATTATAAAATTTTGCAAAAAGGTAATTTTTCTCCTTCACTGATGTGCGTTGATGAGGCTGCACTGATAGGCAGCACTGATAGGCAGCACTGATGGGCATTGAAAGGCGGCAATGATAGGCGGCACTGATGCGGAGGCATGGATAGGCAACACTGATGGGCACTGATAGCCGGCACTGACAGCACTGACTGGCAGCACTGCTGGGTGGCACTGATGGGCACTGGTGCGTTGCACTGCTGGGTGGCACTGATGGGCACTGGTGCGTGGCACTGGTGGGAGGCACTACTAGGCACAGGTGGGTGGCACTGGCACAGGTGGGTGGCACTGCTGGGCACTGAGGGCACTTGTGGGTGGCACTGATGGGCACTTGTGGGTGGCACTGATGGGCACAGGTGGACGGCACTGGTGGGTGGCACTGCTGGGCACCGATCATCAAGGCACTGATCTTCAGTGCCCTGATGATCGCTGCCGATCCCTTCTCTGACAATTGTAGGTTATTGGCAGTACTTTCCTCATGCTATGACAGCGTGAGGAAAGTGCAGCCAATAACCAGCAACTGGTGATCTGCTCTATCATTGGATACGGCTGATTGTTGGTTATGTGTTAGAGAAGACACTGGTAGCTTGTGATGAGGCAGAACTCTGTTTTACTTGTGTGGCTTAAGTTGCAAACATACAGAACACATTTCTGCAGACATCTTGGTTTTGAAGAGAGTAAGGGAGAACCAACAGGTTATACACATATGCACAACTAGTAACCTTAGTGTACAGTGTCATCTACTGGTCAAGTGATATTAACACACTATATACTATATAGTACATGCTGTTGTATCTCCAACACTGATCACATCGTAAAAGACCGCTGTGATTGGCCTTTTACCACATCAAGTGGTCAGCTGTGTCTGTAGGACACAGCGATCACAGAGATCACAGAGATCCCGAGGGGCACGCAGTAGGGTGCGTTCTGGGAAAGATGTCATATGACGCCCTCCCAGAACTGGCCAGCCGCAGTGAAGCCGCCATTTGGCTATCTGCGTTCGGCAAGTGGTTAATACAGCATCTTCTAATGGTAAAATCATGTATCTGGCCAACCTTGTAAGGGCCACATCAATCAAATGAGTGACTCCATACACTGGAAACCCTCCATAAAGAAGAAACATTTTTGACATCCTGCTACAAAAACATGCTTTTGCTGCCCTTCTTCCAGAATGAACTTTCAATTTGGTTGCTATAGGAAAATTGCATAACCATCTTTTGGAGATGCTTGAAATACTTCCACTGTTTTGCAGGGCACGCTACAGGATCTTCCATTTTAAAGCATCTCATCAGCCTTGCAAAGGGAGAAATAAAAACCTGCACATAGATCATCCTCATCTTCTTCCTCAGAAGTGTCTGAAGAGGGTTGATTGGTTCAAGATGGCTTTGACTGTCTGGTCCTCAAAGGGACATCTGGACATTGTTCAAGTAGATGGCCTCTGCTCTGGGTGAATGTAAACAACTCATTTAGAGTGTTTTGATGACGTGCTTAAAGTGATACTAAGTGCTCTTTTTTTTTCAAATAACAACATACTTACCTGCTCCGTACAGTGGTTTTGCACTGAGCAGTGCTGATCCTCCTCTTCTCAGGCCCCCTGCCAGCATATCAGGCTCCTCCCCCCGAGAATGCAGCTTACTATGGGGGCACTGGTGCGTGCTCGCTTCTGAGCCCAGTTCTCTGCATCCATAAAACACAACAGAGTGTGGCTCGGCCAAGCACTCTGCTCCCTCCTTACTGGCTGTGATTGACAGCAACAGGAGCCAATGGTTCCTACTGCTGTGTCTCAGCCAATGAGGAGGGAGAGACATGGGAGAGCCAGGGCTCCCGTGTACATCGCTCGACTGAGATCAAGCTCAGTTAAGTATTGAGGGGGGAGGCTGAGGAGGCTGCTACATACTGAATGTTTTTTACCTTCATGCATAGACCCACCCAAAAGGAGAAGTTCCGCTTTAAGCCTTTGTCCCCCACTCCCCATTAAGGATTGACACTTTTGGGGAGCGGGTTTCCCAATTTGAAAGGTACCCGCTCCCAGTCTATAAATTGCACCAAACTTGTATACGAGCCAGAGGGTGGATCAAGCCTGCCTCTAGTTACACAAGGACACAGATTTCCATTGTGCACCATTACGACCTTTTAGCTGCCTGCGTCCTGACAACCAATGACATCATCAGATGATAAGGTGGATGTCAGCTGCCTGCACAGCATCCTAGTCTCACCCTCCCCTGCCCCTCTCCATGAGTGCTGGGGGTCACATTAGCTCAGTGATGGAGAAAACCTGAGGGAGAAGAGAAACACTGGAACACTACTCAGTACCAGTGTGCAAAAGTATATTTGCCTTGGAAGAAAAAAATTACCTCTAATGTTGGGTGTTATACATGTGTGGATGTTGCTGTGTTATGTAAAACTATTAGAATAGTTTTTCACATTTTAGAATGCGGTGCCCTTTTAAGATAAGGGACAGTCTAGAGGCACCCCATTTTAGAATGGGGTGCCTCAAGACTATCTATAATTTTAAAGGGTGCCTTGGGACTGTCCATAATTTTAAATGGGTGCCTTGACCAAAAAAGGTTGAGAAACACTGGCCTAGGCGATCGGAAGCAGAACGTGTCCCAACCCCCCTCCCTCCCCATAGTCTTCTGGAACACGTGACAGGTCCCAGAAGACTATGGGGCCATTCACAAAGTGCAGTGTTTCTCATGCATGCGCAGTGGGCACCCGGCTGTGAAGCCGCAAGCTGTCACAGCCGGGTGCCACATTGAAGATGCCGGCGCCAGGTAGAGAAGACAGACAGTGAAACCAGAGGTGGTGAGGACATCGCTGGACCGAGAGACAGGTAAGTGTCTGTATTTTAAAAGTCAGCAGCTACAGCTTTTGTAGCTGCTGACTTTAATTTTTTTTTTCAGGTGGAACTCCACTTTAAATCTTTGTGGTCTAAGTAACCAGGAGAACTGGCCTTTGCCTACATAGTGTGTGCTAAAAGGTGTCCATCTTTCAGAAAGTTGGGAGGAATGGTTCAGACAGTACTTTTGACCTTCAGAATTCTTACCCGCTGTTGAACAATTACAGCATCTAGGCACATTTTATGATATAGGTTTCTTTGTTGGCTGGTAGTGAGGAGTCTAACACCTGGGGTTCCAATTTAGGGTAAGTTTGGATGCCGAATCAAAATCCTGTTGAAATCAGAGCCATATCCTAGAAATCAGAAATTACCATTTTGTGGACTAATAAGCAAGTGATCATCTACAAAAACATGGGGAACTAGGCAGTGTCCTAGGAGACATGTTTCAAAGCAAAAAAAAGAAAAAAAAATATATTTTTTTACATTAATGTTCAGCAGGAAGAGGGGGAGACTAGGCAGGATTTATCATGAATAAAAAATAAGAGCATGCTTTTTTCAGAAGCATAAGCTAGATAAACTCAGCTATTTTGCTGGATAGTATATACTTTTTTTTTTTTTTGCTAAAATGTCAGAGGGAGATTTCTTTAGGTCTAAACAGAAAAAAAGTGTATTTTTTTCTGAAATTGAAGACAGAAACTGTACAAGTTTGAGATTTTTCAAGCCTTTTTGAAATGACTATTTCAAGAGAAAGCAAGATTTCATTTTTAAAAAAAAATCAGTTATTATCTATTTTTAAATACTGAAGACTGAAAAATTGTACTACTTTGAAGCACACATTTTAATCCCTTTGGCATAGGTTGCAATGTTTGAAAAAGAGAGAAAGCAGATTGAATCTGGAATTTAAAAACTTTGTGTATTTTTTTTCTGAGACTGAAGATGGAAAAATTTTACAAATTTGCACCACAGCTATTAGATCTTTTGGGTTAGGCTGCAATTTCAGAGAGATTGAGCAGGGGTATTGCATGTGGAAATGAGGTAAAGAGCAATAAAACATTTCTAATTGAAGGACACATTTCACAGATTTGGTGCACACATTTTAATCCTCTTCTGTCAAGTACATCGCAGCTGGTTCTGACCCCGTTACTTACCTTTGGCATATTCCTCAACTACGGTTCTGTCTGATCCCAACCTACTACCACTCATTACCATCCTTTGACTTAGTCATTGACTACTCTTCCACAAGACCCCTGCTTGCTCACCTCCTGGTCGGACGATCCTGAGGGCTTTAACCTGGCACTATCATGGTGAGAAACCCACCGCCACCATCAAAAGCTCGGGTGAAAACTGGTTGGTGCTTAGACCCCGTTCCTTAGGTGAGCCCAAGCCACCTGCCAGGGGAGTCTACTTGTGTAATTAGCCTGCTTGTTACTATGTGAACCTTTCTACTGCTTTAGCTACAGGCCTCCAAATCTGACTCCTGAAAGGCAGATTATGGCTGGAAACCCCCCAAAAAAATCTATTTTTATTTTACATTCAATACAGAAAAATATATCTTTTAAGCCTTTTTTCCAAGAGAAGTGCATCCCATGCTTTTAAAACAACTTAGGGAGAGAGCAGGAATATTTTATCCATAAACATAAAATTAGTCTGTAGTTTTGTAGAAACAAATTAAAACAATTATACAGATTTTTGCAGCAGAGAATCTCATCCTTATTAACTAGTTGCCGACCACAGATAGCCGAATGACAGCTGCACTGCGGCCAGCCAGTTCTGGGAGGGCATCATATGATGTCCTCCCAGAACGCGGTCTCCTGCGCGCCTCGGCAATCTCCATGATCTCTGTGTCCTACGGACACAGCTGATCACGCGATGTGGTAAAAGGCCAATCACAGGGGCCTTTTACCACGTGATCAGCCATGTCCAATGACATGCTGATCACTGGGAAATGCAATTGCCGATTCTTGGCTGTACTTTCCTCATGCTGTCAGAGCGTGAGGAAAGTACTGCTGAGAACCGGCAGTTGTCAGAGCAGGGATCGGCACCGATTATCAGGCCACTGATGATCAGTGCCCTGATGATCAGTGCCCAGCAGTGCCACCCACCTGTGCCCAGCAGTGCCACCCACCTGTGCCCAGAAGTGCAGCCCATCAGTGCTGCCAGTCAGTGCAGCCCATCTGTGCCACCAGTCAGTGCCTCCCATCAGTGCCACCAGTCAGTGCCGCCCAGCAGTGCCACCAGTCAGTGCACATCAGTGCTGCCTATCAGTGCCCATCAGTGCTGCCTATCAGTGCAGCCTCATCAATGCAAATCAGTGAAGGAGAAAAATTACCTCTTTGCAAAATTTTATAATAGAAACAAAGAAACTGTTTTTTTTTCAAATTTTTTGCTCTTTTTTTGTTTATATCGCAAAAAGTAAAACACCCCAGCGGGGAGTAAATACCACCAAAATAAAGCGCTATGTGTTAAAAAAAAATGAAAAAAAATTCATATGGGTATAATGTTGCATAACTGTGCAACTGTCATTCAAAGTGCGACAGCGCTGAAAGCTGAAAATTGGCCTGGTAAGGAAGGGGGTATAAGTGCCCGGTAGGCAAGTGGTTAACAGAAGGAACATTTTTTGGCAGAGACTAGGCCAATTACAGCAAGTGGCTGACACTGTGCTCAGGTAATTCAGTGGATTTCAGTGGACCACGATTAACCCCTCAATGGCTGAGCACCTTTACTGTAGTGCCCTACTTTCAAGTAGTGCCAGCTAGTTATACAGTAAAAGTGGTCAGTGGTGTTAATTGTGATCCTCCTGCTTGGCTCTCTCCCTGACAGCTGAGGGGTTAAATCTGTGTAAGGCTGTTTGGCTCCCGTTCTTTGATAATGATGACCTGGGAACTATGTGCACATAGAGTCGGCACGGTCCCACTTAGTAATTTCCGACACCTGAGCTTTCTCCAGTCTATGAAAGTCTGCAGTCTCCTGTTCCTCAAATGCTGCCAAGTGTTCACGGGGTTAACTGTTTTCACAATCTCCTCAAGCTCCAGCTGATCTTGACACTTGGCCATTTTTGGAGCGATCTGAGTGGACGGCTTTGGGACACACGCCCCCTTCTCTCATGTCATGTCATGTCATGTCTGTCAGTCACAGGAGAGAGGGTGTGGTGACACACATTTTTTTCATGTGTAGGGTTTTTTTCACTGTAGGAAAGCAGAGAGGATTTAAGATGACTGGCTGTTCCTCTCCTGATCAGAATGGGGACAGATGACTTCTGCTGCTATGCTGTGTGAGATAGACAGGTCATTTCAATTTCGATTTTTGGGGTTTACAACCACTTTAAAGTGGTAGTAAGCCGCAAAAAATAAATCTAAAACATCTTCTCCCTGCAAGTTAAGAGCATAATGTGCATAATGAGCATAATGCATCACATATTAGCACATTATGAAAGACTTACCTGAAAATTAAGCCCTTTACCGGAGACGTTGTCATGGCTTCCATCTTCACCAGGTCTTCCTCGTGGGTTCACGGGCTACGGCTGTTTAACTGGCCAGGCCGCGATGACAGCCACAGCACTACTCTCTCAATGGATGACATGCCTTCCATTGAGAGCACAGTGCGCATGCACCGGCACTGCAAATGTAAATATCTCCTAAATGGTGTACATTTAGGAGATATTTACAGTACCTACAGATAAGTCTTATTAAAGACTTACATGTAGGTAAAACATACAGAATTAACTTTACGCGGATTTATTTACATGCATATCTGAAGAAATAAATTGAAAGCCTGTATATTTCCTTTATATATACTATATATCCTTGGGACCCCTAACCAGTTCATTGAGTGTGCACTTTAACCACTTGGCAACTGCGCTATAGCTGAATGACGGCTACAGCACAGTTGTCCAGTTCTGGGAAGACGTCATATGACGTCTTCCCAGAACGTGCCCTCCCGCGCACCCCCCAGCAGCACGAACCCAGCAATCTCTGTGATTGCTGTGTCCTACGGAGGCAGCTAATCATGTGATGTGGTAAAAGGCCAATCACAGCTGTCTTTTACCATGTGATCAGCTGTGTCCAATGACACAGCAGATCACCGGGTAAATGCAATTCCCGGTTATCAGTTGCACTTTCCTCACGCTGTCACAGCATGAGGAAAGTACTGCCGGTAACCGGCAATTGTCAGAAAAACAATGATGATCAGTGCCCAGCAGTGCCACACACCTGTGCCCAGCAGTGCTACCCACCTGTGCCCAGCAGTGCCACCCACCTGTGCCCAGCAGTGCCACCCATCAGTGCCCAGCAGTGCCACCCACCTGTGCCCATCAGTGCATAGAAGTGCCACCCACCAGTGCCCAGCAGTGCCTCCCATCAGTGCCACCCATCATTGCTGCCCAGCAGTGCAACCAATCAATGCCCAGCAGTGCCACCAGTCAGTGCCCATCATTGCTGCATATCAGTGCAGCTTCATCAGTGCCACCTCATCAGTGCCGCCTATCTGTGCCATCTGGCAATGCTGCCTATCAGTGCTGCCTATCCGTGCCACCTCATCAGGGCCGCCTATCAGTGCCCATCAATATCACCTATCAGTGCTCATCAGTGCTGCCTATCAGTGCCCATCAGTGCTGCCTATTAGTGCAGCCTCATCAATGCACATCAGAGAAGGAGAAAAATTACCTGTTTTCAAAATTTTATAATAGAAACAAAGAAAAAATGTTTTTTCAAATGTTTTGCTCTTTTTTTGTTTATAGTGCAAAACATAAAACACCCAGTGGCAAGTAAATACCACAAAATGAAAACTCTATTTGTGTGAAAAAAATGATACAAATTTCATATGGGTACAATGTTGCATGACCACGCAATTGTCATTCAAAATGCGACAGTGCTGAAAGCTGAAAATTGGCCTGGGCAGGAAGGGGGTATAAGTGCCCGGTAGGCTAGTGGTTAAATGTAGTAAAATAAAATAAACCACACACAGACCCAACAAAAAAAATGAATAATTTTCAAGATCCAGCGGTGTTAAAAGCGCAGGATCCAGTGTAGGATTGAAAAAGAGAGAGTTACAGCTCCCTCCTACCTCACTTCTCATCCATGAGTTAAAAAAAATTATTATTGAACTACATTTTATGCAAAATCCTATATTTTGCACAAATACTGAGATTGAGATCTGCAATCACTTTTGCAGCAGTTGTTTACTTATTTCGTGTCACAATCCTGCGCAATGTTCTGTTGTCTCCTTTGGTCAGGTGACCATGTAGAACATACTTATGCTTATCAGACAACGTTTTCCCAGAAACTGTATATGTCGTTATAATCTTGATACTGTACCTTGTGACACGCAGGGGCGGACTGACCATTTGGAAACTCGGGCACTGCCCGAGGGCCCGGGGTAAGTAGGGGGCCCCATGAGATGCCCCTGGTAGCTTTTTCATAGGCTTTTTTGAGTTTGGGCAAGGACACAGGGGCCCTATGATCCCCTATTGCCTGGGGGCCCCGTGAGTTATCAGTCCGCCCCTGGTGACACGGTAAATAATTTGGCATTTTCCGTCACAGAGGCACCAGCTAAGCGGGCACTAGCAATTTGCCTATTTGATGCTCAGTAAGCTCTGATATGACTTCCTATTACTAGCAGCGAATGGAGTGAATGACGAAAGTGAGGCTTCCCACCTGTTAGCTAGGTGTCTCATCACACAGTGGAAGCAGTAGAATGTTAATTACATCCACTTTCAACACAAAATATGTTGTCACTTTCACACCTGCAAATCATGTAGCATTTCCATTTTTTTATCTAACCCCTGTATTTTAGCTTTTATAATTCTGCTATGAAGTTGATATGTTAATAACAGCGCTATTACATGGATCCATCTTCTTGTATGAGCACAGTTTTTGTCTTTTGTTATGTTGGGTATCTTGTAGCATTTGGATGTGTGTGAATGTCTTAAAGTGTATCTAAACCTAAAACAAAAATGCAGTATATTTAAGATTACTAGTCCTTGATATGATAGCTGCATTTTTTTCAATCTTTTTTGCAGTAATCTTGCACAAATCCTGTCTCTGGGTTGCCACATCACTCTTCCACTGTACCTATGGAGGGAGCCATGGTTGTCGTCCTAGGCTGCACTCAGGATATGGACTACAAGTTGGTTTGCATCTTTTCATCTCTATTATATGGAGGGGCAGAGCAGTTTACATAAGATACCTAGGAAGGAAGATACTTTTTGGTACAGCTCTCAGGAAGTGATAAGGACACAGCATTTCTGGCAAAATCAACAGGTGTTTCTGTATTTGCTTAGAATGTTCTTAGCTTGAAAAAAAAAAAAGAAAACTAACCTTCATTCTTTTAGCAGCCAAACAATCACTAAGGCATGGCAAAGTAAAACATTCTGTATATTTTATGGAAGTTAAAGTGTTACTAAACCCAGGACCCTTCATTCACTCTATCTGGTCTCCCACAATACACAGAACATGGAAATGAAATTATTTTAGTGAATATGAACTGCTAAATACCTTTTCTCACCAGCAATATATTGCAGTCTTGTGACTTCTATTAGTGTCCAGATGAGCACTGGTTAAAGCTGGTAAGAGGAGTTTTCATTCTGCAATGACTGTTCTGTGAGGCTGCATGACCCCTGACCCTCTGTCTGGACAGCACTGATTGGCCCTGTGCTGACCATGTGCACCCTCCCAAAGAAAAAAAACTCTGTAGCAATACACACCAAACTGAGCATGTGCAGAGTGAATCATAGAGCTCTGTATTACCAGCAGATGGATTGGGGACAGTAAAAGCAGGAGAGGATCAGGGAAGACAGGATCAAACAGCCTTTTTACACAATGCGGAGGATTAACCCCTTAGGTTCCACAGTGAGTATAACAAGCATGCTTTATTGCATATAGAGACTGATTTTACTGTTGTGGGTTTGTTAACACTTTAAACAACTCATTGACTCATTTTCTATCACTGAGAATCTAACAAGCATACTTATGGACATCCATCCAAAAATTTTTAAGGTGTGGTCCCTGTGGATCCTTCTTTCTTTTT